TTGTTGTTGTTGTTGTTGTTGTTGTTGATGTGCCATCTCATTATTATGTGTTGTATATTCAGCAGTTGTTAATGATTTTACTCAGATGCACCTCGGCTCGTTATCTACGTCTTATTTATAGTTCATGCTACTATCATATTTTTTTTTCATATACAATTCCTTACTATAACTTTCGAAATATAGAGTATACCATGGTACGATGATTCGTTATTCATATACTGGATCGTCTTAACCTTTCTGCTAACGTGTTTTTAAATAACCTGATTGCCTTATATTCGAGCATAAATTAACATAAATTAACCTATATTAACATGAATAAGTAGTAAATGGATTTTTTTTTCTAGCCGTATTTGCTTAGGTTTCAAGCTTTTTATGATGGAAGTTTGTTTTTGAATTTGCGAAATATTGCTCATACAAAGAGTTTGGAAGTTTTTTTTTGCCTATGTTTTTTCATTTTTGTTTTAACAGTGCACTCACAATTGACTAAACAAATCTTGCTACCAAGCATGCACTGTGTACAGATAATTTGACGGGAGCCAATGTACACATGCATGCATGCATGTGTACATACACACATATACATGCATGCATGCAAACACACATACATACACAAGCATACACACATAAACATATATATATATATATATATATATATATATATATATATATATATATATATATATATATATATATATATATATATATATATATATATATATATATATATATATATATATATATATATATATATATATATATATATATATATATATATATATATATATATATATATATATATATATATATATATATATATATATATATATATATATATATATATATATATATATATATATATATATATATATATATATATATATATATATATATATATATATATATATATAGTCTTACATGAATACACAGACATACATGCAAAAATATACTACACTAATACATTCAACTGTTTAAAAATACCGACATACATAGAAACAAACATACAGAGAGATACATGCTCATTCAAAATTTTAATGGAAATGATCATACAGTACAAGCATGTTTTCTGATAAGAGCAAGATCATGATGTTCTCTGCTGCTTCTTTTTGTTAAATAGTTCAATAAACTTTTAAGGATTTATGGGAAAAGAAGAGTCAATCAAATTAACGAGAAAGAAAAAATACACATGTTTCAAAGTACTTCTCAAACACACACGCACATACGCGCGCACGCACACACACACACACACACATAATCCCATGGCAAGGTATGACGCAAGAAGCACAAATAAGATGAAGATAAAAAAAAAGAGTTTTCATGTTCTGTTTTTCATGAACATACTGTAACTAACATATATGTGCCCCACCTGATAAAAATAACTGAACATCATGGGGTCAAATACTGTGTACATACGTACAACCATACATACATTTTCGAATTTGTAAAAATATCAGTATTAGGTCAGGCGATAGTAGGGAATATTTTTTTGCTATGAATAATATCTCGTGCATCCTGCAGCGGTTTTTGCGCGTCTGTGTGTTGGAAAATGTGGAGTTGAATGCCGACGGGGTTGAGTAACGTTATAGCAAATAAAATCAAATTTAGTCAGACGCTTGGCTTTTGGTGTCATTCGTCAATGATTTGGTTTTAACATACATACATACATACATACATACATACATACATACATACATACATACATACATACATACATACATACATACATACATACATACGTACGTACGTACGTACGTACATACGTACATACGTACATACGTACATAGTACATACGTACATGCATACATGCGTACATGCGTACATACGTACGTACGTACATACATACATACATACATACATGCATACATACATACGTACGTACGTACATACATACATACATACATACATATATACATACATACATACATACATACATAGCCATGTAACATCGACTATAGTATTACTCAACATAACCATAGCAGAACATTATAACAACTTTGATTCATTTACTTTCATTTGTGAACATCCATATTAATATTTTTATTTGTACGCTTATATACCCTCACGTACGCACACACACAAACACTTCTTATTATATATAATAATTTATTTACTTATTTACACACTTACCTACTTGGATTTGGATGAACTCTGGTTGGAATGCATATCAAACCATGCTAGGTGAATTTTAGATTAACCAGGTGGTTGCATCTTTCAGACGGAATACCTACTTGTGTCTGCTGAATCTTTTGTTTCGCTGCACGTGAATTGTAAATTCTTTCCTTGTTGTTTGCTTGTTAATGTTAATGTGTGGATCTATTCTGAAGAGTTACTGAATGAATGAATGAATGGATGAATTGACAGATTGTAATGATGATGAACAAGTTTACCACGCATACACACTTTGATTCTCATATATAGCAAACACACACACACACACAAAACAGTGGTCTAGACAGTGCCTCGTGCACTCAATGCGTCGCCCTATTGAAGTCCCTTGCTCGCGGGGGTAGGAATATCATATGCACCATACATCAGCCCAGTGCCAGGATATTTGAGATGTTCGATTTCGTTAGTATTCCGTGTTTTTACATCTGTAATCTGTATTTTTTTGTTTGTAAATCTGTATTTTTTTCATTAGTAATCTGTGTATTTTTCTTAATGATTAGTTGTTCTTGCTGGTGTCAAGTAATTTTAGTAGTAGTGTTAGTAGCATTTGTAATAGCAGTAGTAGTTGTAGTAGCTGCCACAGTAGCAGAATCATCAGCAGTAGCAGTAGGTTACTTCATAACAGAATTTGTATCTTCATTTATAGTATTAATGATATTTTTTTCAGAATATGTGTTAATGTGTGCCTGGCTTTTTCCATGTTATTATTATTAAGATTCCATTTTTTGCTGAGGAATGTGTTTTTTGTCCAAAAATGAAAAATTTAGAAAGAAAGTGAAAGTCTCGTTCATTCATCCATTTATCTATCCGTCCATTCATCATTCTATCAATATATGATGCAATACTTGTGTGTGTGTGTCTGTGTGTGTGTGTGTCTGTGTGTGTGTGTGTCTGTGTGTGTGTATGTGTATAAAGTTGAAAATTTAAGGCAAATGAAAGATGATATTCCAAAATTAGATGTAAACTTAAAACAGAGCCATTTTTTGATGAAACATTTTTTCAAATTTAAGAATTCTTCATTTTTTAAATTTTGTAAAAAATTGAAATTTTAAACCTTTTAGACACCATATGTAAATAAATAACGTTTGTCTAGTATTCTTTGTTAGTATTTTTAACAATCAACATTATTACAAAGTATTTTTGGAGTTATATCTACTCTTTGTTATATCTACTTTTGGAGTTATATTTACTCTATCTCTCTTTCTCTCTTCCTTGCCTTTTTTATTCTTCTTATTTTACTTTTTGTTTATTTATTTATTTATTTATTCATGTTTGATCTTCCTCTTTGATTGCATCTGTCATGGAAAACAATCAGCTGCAAACAAACTGCACTTGAAAGTCTTTAGAAGACAATTTTCTCTTTTTTTTGTGCAAAACATTCGATGCTTACATGCACAAACTCATTTACACGTATGCACACACGCACGCACACACACACACACACACACACACATACACACACACACATACATACTCACACACACACGTACAGTTGTACATGATGGCAGATGGACAGTGCATATATCAGGGTAGCGTTAGTGGAGTTATTCCATACCTCAGCTCACTGAATCTCGTCTGTCCGCCATATCACAATCCCGCTGATTTCAGTTAGATGTTTAAATTTTTTTCGTTTTTATTGATTAGTTGATTGATTGGATGATTGGTTGGTTGGTTGGTTGGTTGGTTTGTTGATTAATTGATTGATTGATTGGTTGGTTGGTTGGTTTGTTGATTGATTGATTGATTGATTGATTGATTGATTGATTGATTGATTGATTGATTGATTGATTGATTGATTGATTGATTGATTGATTGATTGATTGATTGATTGATTGATTGATTGATTGCACGTACAGACATACGGAAGTATACACACGCACACACACACACACACACACACACACACACACACACACACATGCAAACACACACACATGCAAACACACACACACACTCAGTGATAGAGGTAGCGTGTGGCGAATTCGGAGACATGGTCCCAAAACTGGTGGCTGTCGTCAAGTCAGGAAGGTGTGAGCGACATCACGACAGTGGGGCCAGCCACAGGCTGAACAACAGCAACAAGATCAATCTTAGTGATAATAAGGTTTTGTTGTGGTGATGTTGATGATGACGACGATGATGGTGACGATGATTGGGATGACGATTGTGGGGATGATGATGTTGACGGTGATGATGAGGGTAATGGTGGTCTTGAATTGATGATGAATAATCATAAAACCGATGACGTTAACATAAGATGACATCATCACAACGTGACATCATCACAACAACATCACAACAACATCACATCATCACAACAACATCACATCATCATCACAACAACATCACATCATCACAACAACATCACAACAACATCACATCATCATCACAACAACAGCAGGATACAGTCATCTCTCTAATTGGAAACGGCGAACTGGACGAATCAAAGAGTAGCAGCAAAGACATGTACATGAACTTGAAAGAGGTTGACCTTGACCTATTTACTTAACTAACTTCTTCCTCGGCTAATTTGCATAAATTACTGGCGCATTTGAATAAAATACAGACTTATTTGAATAAATTACTGATCAAATTGCATAAATTAGGGTCCTATTTAGAAAAAAAATACTACTCTATCTTATAAACGTATTCAATGCACAAAGGTTATGCACACCACACACACATTCACAGACACATTCACACACACACACACAAACACATTCACACACAAACACACACAGACAGACATATATTTTGATAAAACTCAGGACTTGAACATGTGCAAACTCTTCAACTACGTTCGAAATATATGCATATATATATAATTTTAAACATAATCATGTTATTCACGCATTTTAATCACCGTAGTTTCAGCTAAATAATCTGTTTGTCTTCTACATTTTTGTTACTTTCACACACATTAACTGATAATTATGTTGCACACAAACACACACGTGTATTTATTTTTGTGTTACACACAAGCGTGTGTTTGTGTGTGTGTGTGTGTGTGTGTGTTGGTGTTTTTGTTTGTGTGTGTGTTGGCGTGTGTGTGTCTGTGGGTGACCTACTTGCAAGGTTCGAATGGTATAAGGTTACTCATTTTCAAATGACCCATTTACAATTTTTTTAAGGTAATTATGTTTGGATAGTTTTTACATCATGCTTAACTACAGACACACACACAAACACACACACACACTACACACACGCACGCACATTTGCAATACGCTACGCTCACACAATGCAATTCACACACATACACATACACACACACACACACACACACACACGATTGAGTTAAAAAATGAAGGATGGATAACTGAATTACATACACGTATATAATATTGCATCGACATAGCACAGCAAGACGTTCCACAACTCGCTTTTCCCTTTACGTTACTCTACTTTATGTCACCATTTATGTCATGCCACGTCATGCTGCAATACGATGACGTCAACAGGACTCGTCGGAAGGCAGTGCGGACCGCACCTTCACGACGTCATTCATGACGCAGTTCTGCGTTCTTCTCGCCAGGACATTCAAGTCCATCCTTAGGGACACCGTTAGTTAATTAGTTTTTAATTTATTCATCTCGCTCCATCCAATTAATTTACTCCACTACTTGGCCTAATTAAGTTTAGTCATTCCAACTTATTATTCATATTGAATCATATTGAGTTATTAATTGTAATTATTTATTAATTTATGCAGAACTTGACCCGGTTAAGATTCATGTCGCACATTGCCATAGGCCTAATCATAGGCCTGCTCTACTACCAGATTGGCAATCAGTCTTGGCGGGTGCACAACAATGCCGGTTTCCTCTTCTTCACCATGCTCTTTCTCATGTTCACTGCCCTTATGCCAACTGTTATGACCTGTTAGTTTAAGTTTGTGCATGTGTGTGTGTTTGTGTCTGTGTGTTTGTGCGTGTGTCTCTGTGTTTGTGTGTGTGTGTGTGCTGTGGTGTGTTTGTTGAGGATGCTGTTTACTGTTCGATATGATGATAATGATGATTTTTTTTTCTTTATTTTCATTTCTTATCCTACTTCTTTGATTACCAGCATTATTATCACGATCATCGTCACGCCGCACTCATCACCACCACCACGATCATCATCTTTCTCTTCCTCTTCCTCATCTTCACCCTCTTCCCCATCATCACACACAATCAGTCCCTCTAGAAATGTCGATCTTCATCCGTGAGCACCTGAACTATTGGTACAGTGTGAAGGCCTACTACCTGGCCAAAACTGTGGCCGACCTACCCTTCCAGGTTCACTAGTTTCTATTAACTCTGGGTTATCTTATTATCATTTACTAGGCTAATTTCTTCTTCACACATAGAAATATCGATGCACACAGACACAAAATTACACACGCACACTTACACAAACTTACACACACACACGCCAGATTATATTCTCTCTGATCTACTGTTTCATAGTTACAAACACAACACACACCAAACACACACATATATACACACTTACACACACACACACACTTACACACACACACACACAATCACTCCAGATTATATTCCCTCTGATCTACTGTTCCATAGTGTACTGGCTGACCGACCAACCAAATGAAGGGCATAGGTTCCTTATGTTCCTCCTCCTCTCAATTCTGACGTCACTAGTTGCTCAGTCCCTGGGGCTTCTCATTGGGGCTGGCACGTCCCTGCAGGTTCCATTTTTTCTTTTATTCGTTCGTTCGTTCGTTCAGATTGTTCGTTCATTCATTTGTTCAGTGTTCATATGATGTCTATGGTTTATAATGGAATGATTTGTAGACTAGGCAGCTACACGTTTGTCACACGGTAAAGCTAGATGATGGAGATGAAGAAATTATCATAATTGATTCACAACGGTAGTTATAACCATCGTCGTTGTCGTCGTCGTCATCATCAGCTACTACATATAGCATTTTATCGATAGTTTGAATTTTACGTTAATGTGTGTGAATGGATGTTTGTCCATATGAAAATATTTTGTTTTATTTTGTGATGCTTAAATTTATTTTTGCTGTTGAGGCCTGGTTTTTAAATTCGAGTGATAGAGAGAGAGAGAGAGAGAGAGTGAGAGAGAGAGAGAGAGAGAGAGAGAGAGAGAGAGAGAGAAGAAGAAAAAACGAGAGAGAGAACCGAGAGAGAGAAAGAGAGAGAGAGAGAGAAAGAAAGAAAGAGAGAGAGCGAGAGAGAATTCAACATTTACAAATAGCCTGTCATATCGTTAAAATTTTTGTTTTATTATTTGTAAACATTTTTATTATTGATAATTTTTAATATGGTATTCTTTCATCTAGATTGATTGATTGATGGATGGATGGATGGATGGATGGATGGATGGATGGATGAATGAATGAATGAATGAATAAATGAATGATTATATAACAGTATTGCTGAAACTTTGATACTATATCTTTCTTATTGATAGTATTAAGGGTACTATAATTAAAATAAAAAATGTGTTCGATACTATAATATAATAATAATAATAATATATTAATAAAAGTAATTATTTATATTATAATTTTAGGTGGCGGTTTTTCTAGGACCAGTAACAGCCATACCTATACTGTTGTTCAGTGGTTTCTTTGTTAATTTTGACACCATGCCCGAGTATTTGAGTTGGCTGTCCTATCTTTCTTATGTCAGGTCGCTCGTTTGCTGCTGTTTATTGTTATTCTCTCTCTCTCTCTCTCTCTCTCTCTCTCTCTCTCTCTCTCTATTTTAGTTATACAAAATAAACTACTAAATCAATCAATTAAGTAATTGGTGTTTGGAAAATTTTACTTAATTACCTGATTTATTATTCACTTAACTTAATTAGCCATTTACTTGATTGTCCAATTACACGATTAATTACCCGACCCAATTACCTATTCACCTAATTGACTACTTAATTATCCAATTAATTAAATTCAGATATTCTTTTGAGGGCGTGCTGCAGGCCATTTATGGGTTCGATAGGGGTGAGCTTGTGTCCAAAAAGTCCTCGGATATGACAGATTGCCAGAATTTTCGTAATCCAAAGGTCGGTTGTCGGTGGTAGGTCGTTGAGTTGTTGGTTGGTTGGTTGATTTACTAGATATGTGCTTGAGTCAATGGTTGATTGATTGATTGAAGGGTTGATTGATTGGTTGGTTGGTGGCTGGTTGGCTGACTGACTGACCGATTAACTGACATTCAAAAAACGTGTTACATCCATCCATTCTTTCGTTGAAATTCATCTATCCCAACGTAGATAGAATCCATCCATCCTTTTATTTATTTCTCCAGATATTCTTAATTTTCATGAACGTGCATGAAGCTGAGTTCCACCTCGATATGCTCTACCTCTGCATCTTCTTTGTTGGCATCAGGACCCTGGCCTACGTCGTCCTCAAATGGAGGGTCAGAGATCGATAGGTCAAGGTCGGATCAAATGGGTCAAGGTTGTTTGAGTCGAGGTCAATGTTTTATGAGAGTTGGGTAGAGATGCTGTGAGGCAGGTGATGGTTGTTTTAGAGAAGAGTCGTTGTTCTTTCAAACGGCTGAAAGTTCTCTGAGATTATTCAAGGTCGTTTGAGATGTACCAAAGTTCTATGACATAGGTCAAGGTCTTCCTGCTTAATGAGCCCCGATTGATCAGCATTGCCTTGGATGATTGTTCGTTTAGATGTAAAGATGAGCTGGAGTATGCTGACGGTTTGCTGTGAGATTGCCTAAGAAGTAGTATATCGGTGTTGAATTGAATTAACCTTGTGTCCTCAACAGATGGTTTATTCCCAAATTATTATTACAAACAAATAATTAACTAATTATTTTAGTTAATTTTTGGCATTATCTAATTACGCCAAATGAATTTTCAGTGCACTTTTTTTTCTAGAACTTTCTATATCTTCATTAAATATTCCACGATTGATTGAATGACTATTCGATTTGGTTGTTCGGCTAAACAAATTTTGTATTAATTAACTCTGTACGCGCTGTTTCTTCTTCACCTGTACATCATTCATCGTAACAGGCGTTAATGCGATGGTTATTAATGCTAGTTATTAATGTTATTATCAATATTATTGTCGTTGTAGTATCCATTGTTGGTGTTGTTATTTATTAACTTGTCGGTCAGTTAGTTATGAATGTATACAATATGCAGTTGCTGATGTTTTGTACACAGCGCTTTATAAGTCAATTTTAAATAAGTAATCACCGTTGTTGTACTTTCTTCAGATTTTTTTTCTATTATTTTCATTGTTGTTATTATTGTTGTTGTTGTTGTGTTGTAGTTGTTGTTGTTGTTGTGGTTGTTGTTGTGGTTGTTGTTGTTGTTGTTGTTGTTGTTTTTACTGAGTACTAAGTACGTATTGCGGTTAGTAACGTTTTAGTATTATGAATACAGTTTATCAAAAAGAGTACAATTTTTTGTTAATTTTAAAAATTTTTTTCAATGTTTCATTCTATTTTAGTGGTAGTACCTATAGATCAGGATTTATCTTTAAGTTACTTCATTTGGTGTTTATGAATTGCATTCAGTTGTGTTAATGCACCTTTTTTTTTCATTCATAATAATACTTGCAATTATTTTAGATCTTCAACTTTTGCGTATATCTATTACACATTTTGATATATGGATATCAAATACATTTGTATACATAACAATAGATACACAGTTTTTGCAACATGTTTATGGTATCTTAAACATTTGTATAGTAGATCTTTCTCGAGATACGATACGATACGATATATTTTATTTGCTTCAAAATTACAAGATATAAACGTTTATATACAGGATTATTTATGTATGTTTGTTTGTTTGTTTGTTTGTATGTAGGTTTGCATACATATGATATATACAATTCTAAACATTTTAATGCTCTGTAAACAATTATATTAAATGTATCTTAAGTATCTATATAGATCTTAAACTTTTGTATTGAGTAATACGTATATTGTATGTTGTATATCTACATGGTGTACCAATCTTAACACGTGTTTATGTTTCGTGAACACATGTATTAGAAATTATAATACCCACTGGTATACATACATACACTAGAGCACTGACTTCTCAAGACTGATTTGTATTTGAAAAAAATATTTGTAAATGAAGACATGAAACATTTGTCTGAACACATATAAACATCTGAAATCTTCTAGAAAACTTCTGTTTAGATAAAATTGATTGTATATACGCACATGCACACAAACGCACACGTGTATATATATATTATATATCTATATAGTTATTGTATATACAAAACATTTGTATGTGTAGGATAAATTTTTTGTCTTAATTTTTTTTAAACTTTATATTATTTTGTTTTTCGTGGGCTTAAATATTTTTTTTTGGTCAAAAATTAATATGTACTTTCTGAGCATTGTTTTAATGATTCGGTTTTGTTTGTATGCGTTCGCCTATACGTGTTTGTATGCGTGTACATGTTTGTGTTTGTACGTATGTTTGTTTGTTTATTTGTTTATGGTTGTCTGTTTGTAGTGGTTTTTATTGGTATGCGTTTGTATCTTTTTTGCATAGGTTGGTTTGTATATAAGTATGCTTGGTTTTAATTTTTTTGTATATATTTCTTATACTAGCTTGTTTGTTTAAGGTCAATTTTAACATTTTGTCTACCTTAATTAATGAATAAATAAAGATAAATCTTTCATTATAAGAATCCGATTAATTGTTTACAGCAGTATGTCAGGCTGTTTTTCATTTCATCTGATTATCTGATCTTTTTAGCTTCATTTCAATTTCTAGTCATGTCGAAATGTAATATAATTATTATTTTTAATTATTATATTTATACCAAAATGTAACAATTAATATTGTAATAATATTATTAATGTTTTAGTGTGAATGTACTTTTTAAATCTATCATAAATTGATGATATGTGTATGTGTATTCATGTGTGTGTGTGTGTTTGTATGTGTATGTGTGTGTCTGTTTGTGTGTGTGTAGTTTCTATGTTTCATTGTGATAGATTTATAGTAAGAAATGTTATTGGTAAAATTCTGTTTGTTTTAATGAAATTTGAAATATAGGTTTTCTGTTGGGGCTGCAATTCTACAAATTCAATCAATCAATCTTCGTTTAGCGTTTCGAGGTAGGACGTGAATACTACAAATTATTCTTTTTTAATTTATTTTTTCTTTTATTTTAGTCGACTAATCAGTCAATAATTTGTTTATTTTATTTATTTAATTATTTTATTTATTTCTTTATTTATTTTAATTATTTCTTTAATTATTTAATTAGTTTATTTAATTATTTTATTTACTCATTCACTTAGCCATTTATTTGTTGTGAGTTTCTTTCTTTTGTTCTTTATTCGCTTATTCATTCATCCATTCATTCATTCATTCATTCATTCACACACACATACACCACACACACACACACACACACACACACACACATTCATACATAATTACATACACAAATTCATACAAACATACATTAATACATACACAAATACATACAAACATACACTTTTTTATTCATTCATCCGTACATTCTCACATTTTCATTCACTCATTCAATTTTTTAGTCATTCATTCTTCTATCTAATTTATTAAAATGCAAATTTCCTTCATATAGGTATATATTTCATCTTATCTTCATGTATTGCTAGTATGTCTGTTATTATTATTATTATCGTCGTAATATTTTTATTATATATGATAATATATGTATATAAATGTCTATGGCTCGATGTTTTTGGACGTGTACATGAATCTTTGTTCTCTCATTTTTCTTTTTAAATCGCAATCAACGGAATCACTAACTTAATTATAAATAATATTTGTTTCATTGCACAATATATGATTCATCGTCGTTGTCGTCATTACTTCTTTATGATTAAACAATTAAACATTTCAACTCTATCTGTGTTTCATATAGTACGTGAAAACATTTAAAATGTAATGATCATGGCCAAATAATATCATTATGTTTATTGGATATTTAATGGTTTAACGATACTAACCGGAACGATATTGTTAATATCGGTATGGTTGATGGTGATAATAAAATAACGGTCTAAAGCAAGGTTGAGCCTTGTCGCCAAAAAGGTCATCAGCCAGGCAAAAATCTTTAAAATATCTCGAAAGAATATGTCGAAATATGTCGAAAAAATTTGCAATTTAAGTACACATGCGGCCCGTTAAAGATAAAATAGTTCTCAATGTGACCCTCACGGCAAAAAAGTTTGCCCATTCCTAGTCTAAAGCTGTGATCACAGTAAGGATATTTATTATTGATCAGAAGAATCGGAGTCGTTATTGGTTTCACTTTAAGGGATTAGCGTTATTTGATTCGGCCGTAATTAGGCCATCGTTTAAAAAGTTAAGAGTCATCTTTTGTTATTTCTTGGAGGTTTTCGAGATAATCGTCATAGGCATATAATAGGCACATTCGAGTTAAAAAGTTATGCAATGCTTTTAATTAAATTTATCCATGCGTCGAATTTTACATAGCGTCGAACCGATATTAATCAATATTAAATTCCTAACGGGATCCGGTAAAATTTTTATTTCAACTCGATAAGTGGATAAATTTAAATTATCACGTGGCAGATTAACCTTTTTGCCGCCGCTGGAACCATCTATATTCGTAAGTGTCCTAAAAAATGTTTATTGTTGTACTATCTTTCTCCATCTCTGGCCCATTACATCATTGTTAAGTGGTATTTCAAAAAATTGGTTATCAGACAAATTTCCAGTTTGAAGTTTTTCTTTTTGGAAGAATTAGCCACATCGTTGCAAATTTGCAAAGGGCACCGTTGGCAGTCTAATGAATGGATCACAAACAATTAACGTGAACGAAGTTTTTGTTGTTAATTGACAAAGTAACAGTACTTTGTTACTTTGTAACAGCACTACGTTCAAACGTAGATTGTTATTATTGTTTATTCTTTGTTTAAATTTTTTAATGAATTTTTGTGTACCGTGTTTTACAATGTTAATTTAATTGTGAGCTAATCGTTTTTGCTGAATCGCTTTGTTAAGTTTTTTTTTGAAAAGTAAATCCTAATCTTACCTGTGAGTTAAGTAAATCCTAATCTTGAAATAATAAATAATCAGAGTGTTAAAACCGCTAAGACCAATTACAGATTACACCGGCTTTTCATTGATTATTCATGCAAAATTCATAAAATGAATTTTAAATATCTCTGTATTCAGCAAAAACCTTTATCGTAAAAATAAATTATTACCATGAAAAATTATTTCCTATTCTTTGTTTTATTTTCTGTGATTGTAATTTTTATTGTCCAAAATTATTTACGATCAATGATGAAAGATATATAAGAAAGAGAGGGATGGGATTTGGAGAGTGTTGTTGGAGATGGAGTTGGGCTTTTCTGTCATTAACCAGTAACTCAGTGTTTCGTGTTTCTATAACTGTTAGCATTCAAACCATATTTAAACAAACGTTTCAACAAGTCTGTATTTGAAGCAGTTGTCTTTATCCATCAGAAATCAGCCAAACTAAAGAAGAACGAATATCTTACAAGTTGCAACAGTGATTTCATGCGGTTGCAATATTTAAAAAAATGTCAAAACAACATATTCACTAATTTAATTCTCAATATTTGCCTGTACTAATACAAAATTTTTAAATTATTATACGTTTAAAGAATACAAAATAACTATCTAAAACTATTCACTAATTTAATTCTCAATATTTGCCTGTACTAATACAAAATTTTTAAATTATTATACTTTTAAAGAATACAAAATAAATATCTAAAACTTTTATCGGTCGTCAAAACTTTGAATCTTCCCAAAGTTTACTTGTCATAGCAAAGTTGACATGAATGGAGTCTTCTAACATTTAACTACATGCATGCTTATAGTTTCGCATGTCAATTTTTGGCTGGTGTGAAAAAAGTTACGTGACAAAGTTGCGTGATCGAATCCTTATTTTTTATGCGTGTCACTGACTGACTGACACTACAAACGCTAAATGAATAATGGGTCACTCCATGACTCGGAGAACTGACATGAAACTTTGTCGAACGTCCAAACACCTTTGGTAGAGTATATATAACGATGACGCAACTTGTATTTGCCATTCGAAACGTTAACTCGCTTCTGTGCACTTGCTTGTAACGACCTGAACTATCCTAAACAAAAAATGAAAATTAACCAATATGAAGATATGGAAGTCGACAGTTCCAACTGCGAATGTTGGAACATGTTTGATTACGAACGATACATTCAATACTGCTCTAGTGATACCATTGATATGACTTCGCTAAAAGTTGAATACGAGCTTATGGATGCAGAAGAGAGTGATTACACTGATGATGACGATCAGTTTTCAATTGATTTTAACGAAAGTCAAACAATAGATGACGATAAAAACCTGTCTGTCAGTAAAAACTATCCCTTCATCGAAGAATTTGAAATCAACCTGATTGAAAAAACTGAACGATTGCAAATACGAAAAATACTCGGAAGCGGGTCATTTGGCAGCGTGTACCTGGCTTCCTGCCTCTCTAACTACAAAAATGTTGCCGTGAAGATAGAGTTGTTAGGAAGAAATTGTGAAATATTTCGCGAACATTACTGTTACAAAGTATTACAAGGCGTTAAGGGAATACCGAAGGTCTATTGGTCTGGTTGCATCGGTCTGTCTCGAGTCCTAATTATAGACCTGTTAGGGCCGAGCCTGTGCGACCTGCACACCAAATGCAATCGCAGGTTTTCGTTGAAGACCACACTAATGTTGATAGACCAGTTGCTCGAAACTATAGAAAGTGTTCACGATTGTCTCATAATACATCGAGACATAAAACCATCAAACTGCGTGATGGGACTCAACCAAAATCGATCCAAGTTATACATCATTGATTTTGGGATTGCAATAGATTGCCACGAATCGGCATACGAACAAATGAACGGTCAAAACTCATTTTGTGGTACTTTACAATTCAGCAGTAGAAACGCACTGCAATGTAAACCACAGAGTCAGAGAGATGACTTAGAATCGATCGGTTATACGATGTTGTACCTAATGAACCAGACACTTCCCTGGTCAGACTATTCAGATATCGAAACAATTCTAGACAGCAAACTCAACACATCCGTCGAAGAAATGTGCTGCGGCCTCCCAAATGAATTCTCACAATACTTCAATTATTGCTACTTGCTTAACTTCCTCGAGAAACCAAACTACACGTACTTAAAGTCAATATTTCGTGGCCTATTTCGAGCACATGGCTACCAAAGCGATTACATTTACGACTGGACCAGAAAAATTTACAGTTGATATTTTCTGTTCGATTTTTTAAAATTGTTACTGCTGGTTATAACAATCAAGATGGTTGTCATAACATTTAAATTTTTGTTAATGTTATTTATCTTTTTAGTAAATTGTATTATAAATTTTAATTTATTTTATATTGTTTTTGTTGATAATCTAGTTATTCACATGTATATTTTACAAAAGCTATTGTTTTTATTTAAAATTTATTACGCAATTTTGCTTTCAAATTGTATAAAGTCTGTGACATATACCTTACATGTGATATTTTTTGCCTGTAAATTGAATAAAAAAGTCTCATCAGAAAGCATTTCAATGAACATTTTCTTTTGAAGTTTTCGATCGACTTAATAACAACGGCAATAATAAAAAAATTATAATAATAATAATAATAAAAAAGAATAAAAATAATTATGAAAATAATAAAAAAATATAGTCAAGAGCAGTAGCTATTCAATTGTAGTTCTTGGACACAAAGCTGTCATTGCAAGAGTCTTGCAGTTTTCTAACGCTATCCAAATAACCTTCGAGACATATGTTTTCAATAATTCCAAGAAATGAATGGATGAATGAACGTATGATTGAATGACTGGATGAATGAATGAATGACTGGATAAATGAACGTATGATTGAATGACTGGATAAATGAATGACTGGATGAATGAATTATTAAACCTTCCAGAACTTTCTTCTTGCCAGGTTTAACTTCAATTCCCTTTAGTAAAATCTCAACAGCCTTGTCATGGTCCCCCATAGCTTGGTGGACTTTTGATTGAGTTACGAAAGCGTTCAGACTTTTGGCATCTGCCTAATAGTAATAACAATAATAATAATAATAATAACGATTATTATTATAAATATTATTTTATTGTCATACAAACGATACGATCGATACAAACGATACCATACAAAAAAAAGATACAATACAAAAGGCGCAATACAAAGGTCACAATGTAGGATATATACATACAAGGATACAATACAAAAGATAGAGTAGAAACAAAAGCAGTGCAAAACATGAAAACAATACAATATAACGCAACACAATACAAAACAATGCAATTCAATACAATACAAAACAATACAATACAACACAATACAAATCAATACAACACAACACAACACAATACAATACAATATAATGCAATACAATACAAATACAACACAATACAATAAAAAACGTTAAAATCGATACAAAACAATAAAATACAAAACGATACAAAACAATTCGAAACGATACGAAACATACCCTAAATGCCCAATCACAATCAGACAAAGCCTCCTTATAGTTACCAAGCTGCGTTTGAACCTGGGCTCTGCAGGTATACAACGTCGACCAGTCTTTCAGCGTCTGTAGCGCCTGGTGGCGATTATGATGATTAAAGATGGTGATGATTGTGATGACGATGATTGTGATGACGATGATGATGATTGTGATGGTGATGATGATTGTGGTGGTGATGATTGTGATGGTGATGAAGGTGATTTATCTTGGAGATTGTTTGATGAAAAAAGATCCTAGTCATATAATAATAGCATTAGCAGCTCTATAAAAACACACACACACACCACACAGACGCACACACACACACACACACACACACAGACACGCACCTCATTGAAAACTTCTAATGATTCTTTGTACATCCCCTCACTAAACAATCTCTCTCCTTTCTGCTTTAATTCCTCCGCTTTCTCTTTTCTCTTCCTTCTATCCTCCGCTCTTTTATTTGCATCTTCTTCCATCATTCTCATGAAAGCCTCTTTATTATTATGAAAAATTTTGAAAATTTATGAATATTATTTTAAAATTATGATCTTAATAAAGCATAATTATTATGGACAGACAGCAAGACGACAGCAGGAGTCAAAGTGCCCGGCCTACCTTGCTACTGCAGTGTGACCGCGTTCGAATGCAAGCGGAATCTCAAAATTAAAACTATATAAAGGTAAGAATATAGCGCTGTTATTAAGAATGTAATGAATGAATGAAATGTTCTTGCAACACTAATATAATACAATGAAACAAGAGAATAATGACACAACGATTATTTAAATAAATTAAAAAAATAATAAAATAATATACATAACAATAAATTATAAGAAAAATAAAATTATGAAAGATAATAAAAAATAATAATGAATAAATAATAAAAAATATCGTAAAATAATTTATCAAACCAGGGTCCATTTGTTCAGTTTGTCTGCCCTTGTGGCTGTCATCATCTTTGAAGGCCTTATCGTTTATGATTGTTTTATTAATAGCTGAAAATAGTTCATTCAAGGGAAGATATTATTTTAGATAAACGACATTATATTGTAATAGTGTAATGGTTAAGGTGCTTGACGCTGCTTTTCCAGTAACCGGGTTTGAATACAAAGCGATCCAGGCCAACTGCATGCAATTATAAATAGTGAAATTGAAAAATTGGACTCAAGACAAATTAAAAAATTATGTTAAATTGAAAGCTTTGTGAGGTGAATTTAAAATCTATATTCATCATTATCATCATCGTCGTCGTCATCATCGTCGTCGTCGTTATCATCATCATCATCTATGACATCATCATCATCATCATCGCCATCATCATTATCATCATCGCCATTATCCCTATAATTAACATAATTGTGACCAATACCTTTCTTCTTGGGATTTTTATCTTTCGTATTTTTATCACCACCATCATCATCATCATCATCAACATCATGTCCGCCATCTTTATTTTTTTCAGAAAAGTCTCCGGTAGGTAGGTTGTTGTATTTTGTGAGGAACTCATCAGCCCGTTTCATGCAGCTATCGACTGTACCCTCGTCCTTCGAGCTCATGCCTCTTACTATAGATTCTATTCATGAGGTGATTAAGGATTTTTTAATTAATTAAATTAATTATTAAAATAATAATATTAATAATATATAAGTTAATAAATAGATTAATAATTAATTGATAACTCTGATCACATTTTTATTAAAATGGTTTATGTTGTGTAATAATCAGCCAATGATGTCACATTGTAAGGATAAATTATGATGATAAATGATATTTGAAATAAATTTATTTAATAACAAATGTAGATTGATGAAAAGAGTGAATTATATTTCTTAACCAACTGAAGTATATAGCTAATTACTAAAGTACTAAAGACTAAACTAAACTAATTACTAATAAAAACTTAAGTACTAAAAATGTAGTAGCTACTAACTAAATTACTAAACTAAACTAAACTAAAATAATCAAAAATACTCACCAACTTCACATACTTTCTTCAAAAAATTATCCAAATCTTTTTTATTCTTTGATTTCTCTTCTGAATTTTCAAACTGGCTAAGAATTTTTGAACATTCATCTTCGTTAGCCATCATTGTCGTGGTAAAATAAAATTTTCGGCTTACGCCTAATAAAAATAATTAATTAATTTTATTAACAATTATTATAATGACCTAATTAACCTAAATAATAAGTAAATTACAATTATAAACTCCCCAACACTAATTCAAACTGTTAACAAACAAATCAGGAACACTAGATCGCAAACTTAACGAAATTTGGTTTTAAACGAGAACGAATTTAGCATCGCGTCGCTAGCAACCAATCAGCTGATCGAGATCAGCTGATCAAACGAAAATTATAAAAAAAACCCTATATTATTTATTAATTATATATTTAAATAATTCATTAATTGGCGTTTTATAATTGATTATTAATCTATTAATACAAATATGCATTTTTTTATTATAATACATTATTAATTACACTACAGTAAAGTCCTGAAATTATTAGCGGTATGGAGTTTGGAAAAACTGAAAAACTCTTTGCATAAACGTTGTGTATATATATATATATATATATATATATATATATATATATATATATATATATATATATATATTGAGAGAGAAAAATGAATGACACAAAGAAAGAGAAGAAAAGAGAGAAAGAAAGAGAGAAAAAAAGAATAAGAAAGAGACTTCTACATGACAAAAAAGAATGTTTGACCAAAGAGCCAAATTCCAAGAAAAGGACAACATGACAAGAGTACAAAAGATAGGCCTGGCGACCTCCATATTTTCTAATCTTATTTTGTATCTTCTATTTAAGCTGTTCGTCTGAATGGACGGCTGTATGAACCCAGAAGATATTGAAGATATGTAAAATATTATTGATAATTATTGACCGATGGCGGCATTCCTATTTTGGAGAATGGTGGAGTGAAGTATACGTGAGTACATAAGAAGCAAGCTTCAGAATTGACAGGAATAAAATTCATCCAATTTTGCATTTGAGACTATCCACTAATACAAGATGCAAACAGTATCGAACAAACGATCTACATCTACCGTTTTTGGAACGAAGGTTTGTTAATGGGCGGCTCTGAAAGGTGTGTGAGTATCGAAAGAAATGGTGGAAATACTGAAAAGAATGTGCAAAACGTCAAAAATGTTAGTAGGGAGTGGTGCCGAACTTGGGAATGTATCAAGGCAAGGTATTTGAAAGAAGAAATAAACTATAACACAATGATTTTTGGCAATCGACAAGTTCCAACTCATTTTTTTATTAACGAAACTTTTGAAAGGCTTCTACAACTTGTCTTAAATGTTTCGAAATTTTATTGTTTAATTCTTTAGTTTAGTGAGGTTTAGTTTAGTGAAAAATTAACATTTTATCTGATGGATAGCTTTAAAATTATTTTATTCAAAGAACAAAAAATTTGAATGAAAATAAACGTAAACTTTGTTGACGTAATTTTCAATTCACTCGTAAACTTTAACAACAGCTTGGATACCCAGCAAATAATAAGAATAATAAAAAATAATAATAATTAGAATAAAATTAAAACCACCTGAAAAAATGAACGATAAAAAGCACAAATACGGCAACCAGTACGATTCCTCGATCGGAAACTTTGGCGGGAGTGAAGATTTCAACGAATTCTTCAATAAAATCAACGAAATACGTAAGTTTTTATTAGGAATTTATTCCTTTTTTTGAATAATTCTTCTAAGAGTTGTTTACTTATCAATTTCCAAGTAAAGTTTCTCAGGAAAACTGCCTACACAACATTGTCTTAGGCATCACACCAACTACCTGCAATGAAAACGAGATTTCCCATGCGATCGAACTCGGCACCTAGACGATTAAACTAGTCCATCTAGACCAGGCACCTAGACCATTAGACCTGGGCACCGACCACTATAAAAACCCCATTTATAAACAACTAAATGATTAGAACAATTTCTAAACAATTAAATGATTAAACATTAAAAAAAAAACTTAAAAATCGTTAGAGGCCATTGTAAAGGACATAAACTCGAACGACGAGCAAGTTGCGATGAACTGCATGAAGAGAGTCGAGGCCTATCTCTCTAGACACGACCTCTCTTGCCAGCAGAACAACAACTCCTTGCACGCACATGCACAGCACACCAGCAACAACACTCAATCAACATCCGGACGAAATTGAAAAGGTTTCTCTGAGTTTTTTGGGGCATTATCAAGGATTTTTTCAGATTAAAATGTCGGAATTTCATAGGTTTTGGAAAGAATTAATGAAACTTTAAATTGATATGGTGGATTTTCATAGGTATTTGAAAAAAAGAAATCAAGAATTTTAAACAGATTGTCGTTTTTATGAGTTTTTTGAAAAAATTATTAAGAACTTGAATTTATATGTCGGTTTTTAAAAAGTTTTAAAGATTTGTTAATTTCAACCGTTAAATTTTGGTATTAAGAGATAAATTCGAGTAAAATGTGGTTTAATGCTTGGCAGTTTTTATGTTCTCTTTAAACTCATTAGTTGGCTATCGTTGATGAATATATTGAGTTTATAAGTTTTGAAGTTGAAATCTGAAAGTATTTTCAAATTTCACAATTCAATAGCTCCGTCCAGAAAGCCAGCAATGAAAAATTAAAAATTGTGAAGAACATGGTTGAGTTGTAGATTGATTTGGACAAAAAATGAGACAACGATTTTGAAAATTTTTTGGACTTGAAAATTCAAAGGTTGGTTTAATTGAGTGGTGTACGTTTTGTCGCTATTTAAAAATATTTTTGGTAATATTATAGTCTTTCATCATTTATTTCCATGATTTCACACAATATTTTGCCTCTTAACTTCGAGATTTTGTCAGGACTATTTTTAATTCGAAGTTGTTTATGTGAAGAATTGAACTTATACATTGTGAATATCATCTGATATTTTTAAATATTTAATAACAAGTTAACAAAAATAACTTATTCAAGACGTTTGAGCCATTTCAACTGTCAAACTTTTTTCAATTTAACAGAAAATATAATCAAAATATAAGAAAAAAAGTTAGACGATTCAAAGAAACCCACCAAGATCCAAACGAATTTCGCACATATTCTCCTTACCTAGTGCTTATATTTCAATTCCGATTAACCATTTATACAAGATAAACCTTTTCGGACATCGTCACATCATAAGATTTTCGATTCTGTTAAAAAAATTTTTGTTACTAAACATCTTATAACAACAGATCAACAGCCAATTTTATTTTGCGTTCTGCTAATTTGTAAATGTAATTCTAATAAGGTTTCACATCACTAGTTTGTCCACCATTTCTGCGAGTGTACCTATATAAACTTAAAATTATAATATTTAATTATAAAATTTCGATAGAGCCGAATATTTTAGTTCGAGCAAAATGAGACACCTAAAATCTTTTCGTAAAATATCGTTTCGTAAAATATCGATATACAGAGACAGTTTCATATTCGGAAGAGCCGGGTTCGTCAATTCAAACGTATTCATTCATGTATTATCGTAACAAATTATCACCTTAAAGATCGGACAATTAACGTAGCGGCTCATGTAAATACTGATTTACCGACAGTTTAAAATACCGGAAATAAATATACCGATAACTATCGATCTGCCGATAATTACCGTTTGTCGAGTAGTAGTTTAAAATTCGAGTCCTTAAAATTTTGCGCTATTGTGTTTTTATTTCAGATCTAGTGTAAATTGAATGCAACTTTGTGAAAGCAAGTTTAGTGCAATGATGGCTTTTTTCACTAACTAAACTCACGAGATTTCTAGGAAAATGTTTGATTGTAAGTGTTTCTTGGAAGATGATGCACAACTTAATAATTACTGTATATATATATGTGTCCGTGTGTGTGTGTTTATGTTTGTGTGTGTGTGTGTATGTTTCTATTTTATTCGATCACTCATTTATTCACTTAGTTTATTAACTCGTTCGTTTATTCGTTCGTTCGTTCGTTCGTTTGTTCGTTTGGTCGTTCGATCCTTCATTACGCAAATTTAAAGCAATGTCGCAAGCCAGCACCAGAAGTGCGTCGCATTTTTTGGTTCATTAGTCTATAGCGAATTTCGAATTACACACACACACACACGCACACACACACACACACACACGCACACACGCACACACACACACACACGCACACACACACACACACGCACACGCACACACACACACACACCAGGATAAACATTTCTCAATACTCTTATCTCATATCACTGTATTTTACTGTTTGCCATGTTATGTGGGGATCGTTGTACATTTGAATGCAGTCACTACAACACCAAACCATTGCACCATCTTTCCACCGATTACCTTAAAAAGTTCAGAAGTCACGGAAAATTTTGAACTTCATTTTAAAAAAATTTATAGAATACTCGTTCATCTTTGAGAAGTTGATTGACCTTAACATATAAATAGAACTCACTCATTCATTCAACTGTTAATTAAAAAAAGATCAAGAATATTAGATGCACACACATTCATACACGCACACACACACGCACGCACACACACACGCACACACACACATACACACAAAACATAATGATGAAAGACAGAGCGTTAAATTTTCAAACAATAGATCAATTTCATAATGACACACTGAATAACACACACACACACGCACCCACACGCTAATTCACGCACACAAACACACAAACTCACGCACACATATATTCGTTCATTCATTCATTTTCATTCACTCACTCATTGATATAAATATAGATTTTTGTAAATGTTTGTAATTTTATTTATAACAATATCAGAGTAAGTTATAGTAAACTTTTCATTGACCGTTTTGAATGTTTTCATTTATTCATTCTTCTTCATTCATTTGTTCACTTAACCATTCACTCATTCGTTCTATAATTAATTAATTAATTAATTCATTCATTCATTCATTCATTCATTCCATCATTCATCCATTCATTGATTCATTCACTCATTCCTTCATTCATTCATTTACATGTTCATTCGTTCGTTCATTCTTCCTTTCATGCATTAAAAAACAACAAAAATTCATTTGAGGATATCATAATTTATTGTACATTCTCCCCAAATAGCCAGCAAGCAATCAAAAAATATAAAATCTTCAAAAATTTCAGAAACAAATTTTCCAAAAACGGTTAGCTTCAGTTTAATTTTATCATTTAAAATTGTTAAAAATTATTTAATTTCGGTATAAAACACTATCATTATCTTCACACACACACCACACACACACACACAAACACACACACACACACACATTGAATGTGGTGGGTTAGGATTCGAATTCGGCCATCACAACAGCTGAACCAGACCCCTTAATCATTACCCCTTCGCCACCATCATATTATTTCAATTACTATCGTTATTAATTGTTATCATTTAATAACATAATGTTATTAATTATTATTATTATTATGAATTATTACTATTATTATTGTTTGTTAATATGATAAAAATAATATTAGCAGATGAATGCGATTGAGGTCTTAGTTTTAGGGTTTCTACCTCTAATCTTGCAGCGTAACTTTTTTTTTTATTTGTTATATTTAAATTTGTGAGCATAGTATAATTTAGTATTTGTATTTTGTATTGAATATTGTATTTTATTTTGTATTGTATTGTATATTTTGTTGTATATTGTATTGTATATTGCATTGCATTGTATTAAATAAAATATTAAATATAACTATGAATGAATGAATGAATGAATAAATGAATGAATGAATGAATGAATGAATGAATGAATGAATGAATGAATGAATGAATAAATGAATGAATGAATGAATGAAAGAATGAATGAATGAAAGAATGAATGAATGAATGAATGAGTATAAATATTTAAATAAAAATTGAAATATTTAAATAAATACCCTCAAAAACCATCCCAAACACCTTCAAAATCCACAACTACTCCCTAGTAAAAATTTGTCAGTCAGAAGTGACTTGTGGTTTGTGCGAAAACATGATGAAGATTGGGGACCAGATGCCAAATCATTGTTTCATCAGCTCACCCACCACCAAATGTACAGTTTCCTGCCAGGCTCAACTGGATGTTCGTTATGGTGCCGGTGAGGATAGCATAACTTAGTATTTTGATTATTGTATTTTGTATTGTATATTGTATTTTGAATTGTATATTTTATTTTGTATTGTATATTTTATTGTATTGTATTGTATATTGCATTGTATTGTATTTTATATTGTTTATTGTATTGTGTTGTATACTGTATTGTATATTGTATGGTATATTGTATTGTATATTGTATTGTATATTGTATTGTATATTGTATTTGTAATATATTGTATTTGTATTATATTGTAATTGTATTATATTGTATTTGTATTGTATTATAACTTAGCGTCACGTAATACAACATAACGAGCACAAAAGTCAATACCATCTGTATATCCGAATTTGATGTAGTATTAAACAAGTAATTAAGTAAAAACATATTACTACTAATACTACAACCACTGACTGATCAATATGAATCATTGATTGTATTAGGAGTTTTTTTTTATTATCACCTACCTTCTGCATCTGTTACATTTTGATGGATGAATTTTAGATAATGAAGTTTTACTACACAGTTTGGACAGATTTTAAAAATAATTTTTAATTTACTTCTATTACTACTACCACCATTACTACTACTAATACTACTACTACTACCACCACTACTACTACTACTGCGGCTGCAGCTACTACTATTACTACTGCTACTGCGATCGCTGAACATTTTAGCATTTCAATTATTAAAAACAATTAATTGAACATATTTATGACATTTTTACGATATTTTTTTTTTAAAAACGCATGGCGGAATAAAACTAATTTAAACCTCACATTATGAAAAACGAATAACTCAGCCAGGAATAACAGGGTGTAAATACATCTAGGCACTCAGAGACCCAATTTTTCCATGAAATTATTAAAAACTTTAAAAATAGAAAAAAAATTCTTTCTTCAAAGGACATTACCACAAAATTTCATGCACAACTCAAAAACCAAACGATTCTACAGCTTCTCACTCAACAACTTCAAACACTTTTTTCATTTCTAAGTCGTAATATTATTCAACACGCCAGGATTAGTAGTTAAACTGAACATAAACTTTTGAAAATTGTTCAACCTGGCTGAGTATGGGTTAATTATTTAAAATTTCACCATCTTTATAACCCAAGCAACAAATTTCCGCAAAAATTCCGATTTTTTTTTAAATAAACAGATAAAGAAGCAGTTATAAAGAGGGGATGTACTAATTTTAGGAACGAGCGTTTCACGAGCTCTGCTCAGAATTCAGTAACATACATGTCTAGGAGGAATGAAGAGAGGGCCAACTGTGGCCCGCCATGGCAATTGTTCTACCTCTCTGAAATGAGTAAGAAACTGCCTGCCTCCTTTTACGAGAACCTCATTTCGAAGTGGGATACTGCTTACTGTTTGTAAGTGCCAGGCCAGCATACGAAAGGGTACAGTTTTTTGATGAATTTAAAATTTATGTTCTGATTTTTATGATAAAATTAAACGTTTTAGAAACGATTTCAATTCAAACCTTCCTTAAAATAAATGAAATTTCTTCAAAAAATATCTAAAATACCATTCACTGCATAGTTGAATGATAAGATAGAATGCTGTGTTATAAAATACATTGATATTGACATGTCATTGAATATATATGTAGCTACACATGCATAAGGGACGTATTTAAACTTTATCAATACAATTCAATAGTGAGCTGTGCAACAACGTTAATGATCTCACATCTAAAAATTAGCTACATATCTAGCTAATTACTTAGCTACTTATATAGTTAACTAATTAGCTACCTATCTAGCTAGCCAATTAGCTACCTATCTAGCTAGCTTAACTACGACCTCCAATTTTTCCGAGTTACACAATTATATAAAAAGAAATTAGATGGTGCAATTGGGATGAAGTAAAGATAGCCGAGATCTTAGCTTATTTTGATTATATGTAGATCGGTAATATTTTTAATGTTTCTAGGTACTAAGTTTTTCTGAATTTTAGAACCTAGAATTTCAAAACTAGTCGTAATAAATTTTAGGTGTGTTTCATAAGAGTAAAACACGCCTAAAATTTATGATGTGTGTCTTTTGTTTATAGTTTGGACGGATTCACTGTAAGTATAAAAGTCAGAGAAAATAGTGGAAATGAAGTATTTAAAAATTTGTGAGCAAAGACAGAGAAAAATTAAATGTTTGGACAAAGAAGAGACACGTCAGTTTCAAGTAGGACATTTCAAATTTCATATTTTCACTATATTTATTCAACTCACTTCAATATGGTATATTAAACAAATCCAAAAATTTGTGTAGCATTTAGTATTTTAGTCGGATTGTAATCTAGCTGGAAGCATTGAGTGGGTTGGAACGCGAAGTAATCTCACAAATTTACTAGAGGGAAAGACCTTTAACCTTCTGAACTGTGACCTGTTTCTGATGCGCTAGTTTGCTATTGGTAAAGTAGAAACCAGCAGTAATCATATACACTCACAGCCCAAAATCATTCTGCCATGTAGGTACTGTACATTCACGTTGATTAATCAAATCAGACAACAGATGAACTAGAAAATTTTCACGGCACCATGCGTAGTTTTAGGTGGGGGCCATGGAATCGAGGACGTGTGGACGCTGCGGGAATGAATTGAAATATAGAGACCCCATACCTGATGAATGTTTCATACAGGAGTCTTTGGAAATGTGCTCAGGCCAGCATAACCAGCGTTTGCTATGCTCGTTTATAAAATCTACAAAATGATCTCATTTCAATCTGTTTAATGACATGTTAATTTCATTAATTTTTATTAATTTAAAAAAAAACAAAAATCATGAATCAAATACTATGTGTGATGAGTGTAATTGTAACTGCGCGCGAGAGTGCGTGTGTGTGCGTGGTGTGTGTTTGTGCGTGTGTATGTGTGACTGCTACAAATTACATAATAACAAACAACTCATTATTTCATAATAAATTAATTAGTTGTTCGATCAGTTTAAACAAATTTCGAAAAAACGTCTTCACAATTCACTCGTTACTAACAATTTCAAACTTTGCAAACTGAATTTATTACAAGTAGCTTGATAATTTATTTATTATTTTTTTTAAATAAACACACATACATATACACTGACAAACCCACATACACATAAATATACACAGACAAACACATAAACATACACGCATATATTATGATAAGTTTGCTTACAATTAATTTTAAAAACAAATATAAATGGATGGATAAGTATACATAAATATGAGTGTGTGTGCATGTGTGCATGTGTGTGTGTGTGTGTGTGTGTGTTACTAGACTGACGAGAGAGACGAGAGAGGGATAAAGAGAGAAAGAGAGAGAGAGAGATGAAAAAAGATGAAGAAAAAAGTTGGTGTATATGTTTGTTGTATGTATTTACAAATGTGTGTATATGCATGTGTGTGTAGTGTGTGTGTGCGTTTGTGTGCGTGTGTGCGTGTGTGGCTGGGCTGTCATCAGACGTACCATTCCCTATCTTCCTTCTGACACCTGCCACTGGATGACAATCTCTTCGTTATGTACGATTTCTCATTTTTGCTCTTAGAAAATTTTTTCGCCGCGCCGCCGCCCAACTTACTGCTACCATTTAAGCCACTGGGAGTGCCGCTTGAACTACTGAGGCTGAGTTTTTTAAGGGAGAGGACCGTGCCGATTCCAGCGAGACTGTTGGCGTCCGTGTTCGACTGCACGCAGGCACCTCTCACCAATGTGGAACTTTTTAGATTATTAACACTACGATCGTTGCTATTATTAACGCTGTCGTTGTCAATAATATATCGATTACTCTCACTAGCTAAATCGACATTATTGTTCATATTATTATTACTATTATTACTATTATTATTGTTGTTGTTGACGCTGTTATTTACAACGGACGTGACGTCGTTGAGGCATATTTGGTATTGATACTGCGACCTCGAGTCGACCTTGTACGAACCCTGGTTCCTTGACTTCATCTTACAGATGGCAAGTGTCACCAGACAGATGAATATTATTGTGCCCGTTACGACCGCTGTGGCCAATATTATCTGCGAATTATCATTATTGTTGTTATTATTTTTATTATTGTTGTTATTATTATTGTTGTTATTAATGTTTTATTGTCGTTGCTGTTGTTATAATTGTTAGCATAATTATAACAATTATTGTGATTGTTCGTGTTGTAAAGTTTCGAAAAATCGGAAATAATTTATAAGCAAATATAAAACAACAACAACAAAAACAACAACAACAACAATAATAATAATAGTTATAATTATAATATTATTATTATTAAATATAATTATAATATTAATAATAATTAAAAAGACCTGTTTGATGAGTATTATATCGTTGTCGTTAGTGTCTCGAGACAGACTTTTAAAAAACTGAAAAATTGACAGGGTCGTCGTCTTCCTCCCCATCATCATCATCATCGTCGTCGTTGTTGTTGTTCTTTTTGTTGTTGTCATTGTGACGTTATGACGTCTTCTGCTGTTGTTGACGCTGCTGTCAATTATGACGTCATCATGGTCAATGTCATCGCCGGTTAATGCATCGTCATCTAGGCGGTTTTTTCCGTAAATTTCAAGTTTATTATTATTATTGTTGTTGTTATTGTTGTTGTTGTTAATTAAGTTGTAAGGAGTGTTGTTACCGTGGGAGTTAGTTTCAATTTTAGTATAATCAGAGAAAAAACTGTGAAATGTTCTAGAATGATCAGTCGGTCGATTGAACGATGATTGGTTAATGGTAAATGTTGTTGCTGTTGTTGTTGTGATGTTGTTGTTGTTGTCGTTTGAGTGAGGACTTACTGCGTTAATTTGCATATTAAATGAAGACGACGACGACGATGATGATGGTGGTGGTGATAGTAACGATAGCGAAGATGATGATGGCGTTGATGATGATGACGACGACGATGATGATGATGATGGGGATGATGACGTTGATAACGAGTAGGAAATATTATCAAAACTCATTTCGTATTCATGAGATGTCTCTGTAAACGAAAAATATTTTGATGATGACGACGTTGATGATGACGACGATGATGAAGAAGATGATGATGGAGATGATGAGGAAGAAGAAGATGAGAAAGAAGAAGATGAGGAAGAAGATGATGACGACATAGTAGGCATAATTAGTTCGTTTTTCTCTCTGCTATAAATGTTGTTGTTGTTGTTATTATTATTAATGTTGTTATTGTTGTTATTACTAATGGTGACGTCATTGTTGTTGTTTCTATTCATAATGATGTTGCTTCTGCTTTGGTCTCTGTGGCTATCGCCCTCGGGATCTCCAAAAAGTCTTTTAATAAAGATAGATTGAGTTTTAAATTTACACCTAGTATGTATATATATATATATATATATATATATATATATATATATATATATATATATATATATAAATAAATATATATATATATATATATATAAATATATATAAATACATATATATATATATATATATATATATATATATATATGTATAACACACAAAGCGACATACAGTCACACTCACACACACACACATACACATACACACACACACACATACACATACACACACACACATATTCAGACATACAAATACACACATTATACACCTGTAACGTTATTATTGACATTATTTAAAATGTTATTATTTAATTATTTTTATTTATTATTACTTTTATTATTGTTATTATTATTAATTATTATTTTCATTAATTATTATTTTCCTAACTGTTTGTCGTGGCTCGTTTTAACGTGTCCGGCCAGCTTTATGTTCTCCATCTCAAACATGTTCAGACCATTCCAGTGAAAACCTTTCGCATGTAGATACGTGTGTGTGTGTGTCTTTGTATGTGTGTGTATGTTTGTGTGTGTATGTTTGTCTATGCGTGTGTCTTTGTGAGTGTGTGTATATTTGTCTGTGTGTCTATGTTTGTCTGTGTGTCTATGTTTGTCTGTGCGTATGTGTTTGTCTGTGTGTCTATGTGTGTTTGTCTCTGAGTGTGTCTGTGTGTATGCTTGCGCGTGTGTGTGTGCGTGTGTGTGTGATGTATGTTTGTGCGTACCTATTTTGCATTTTGCTTGTTTGCTTACTGCGTGTGTGTGTACGTGAATATGTATGCATATCAGTTTGTATATTTATGTTTACGCGAATGTATGCTTGTATGTGCTTGTATATGTGTGTGTACATTTGTATGAACGTGTGTGTATGTACGTGTGTGGGTTTGTGTGTGTTCGTTGGAGAAGATTATTCATGTGTAACGAGAATAAATTTGGTTTTCCATGTTTTATGATTTGTTGTTTTTCCAATGCCCACCTGACATCAAGCCGACGAAATGATTGGCTGTGACGTCACGACCATCTCCACCAATCAAGACCCCCATCTGGTGGTTGAAAGTCGTGTGTTGAGGCCCTGTTTCGAAGAAAATTGTGAATTAATTTCGATAAAATTCTTTTTTAATTTTGAAAGAATGGCTAATAATAACGTAAATGCAAAATTTACTTCAAAAAAATAGTTTGGCTGTTTTTATCTAATGTTAATTAGATTTAGCGTCAACCAATCACAAAGCAGTTAAATCTCCCAGTCCTACCAATCACCGTTAGCGTAGTAATAGACGGGCGATCTCTCGTCCAATCGCAGACTAGAGTTTCCGCCCCACCTAACAAAGACGACCCTGTGGACAGCACCATCATCGACCCTGACTCCTCCCACTTCAGTCACGTGATCATTCAGCCCCATGTTGTACGTGGCTTGTAACGTTCCGTTCCTCTGTGTATACAATTTCATGAAATGTATGTATGTTTGTATGTATGTATGTATATATGTATGTACGTATGTACGTATGTATGTTTTTATGTATGCATGTATGTATGTATGTATGTATGTATGTACGTATGTATGTTTTTATGTATGCATGTATGTATGTATGTATGTATGTTTGTTTGTATGTATGTATGTATGTATGTATGTTTGTATGTATGTATGTATGTATGTATGTATGTATGTATGTATGTATGTATGTATGTATGTATGTATGTATGTATGTATGTATGTATGTATGTTAGTATGTATGTACGTACGTGCTTCTGTTTGTATGTGTGTGTGATCATTTGTATGTGCGTTTGTATGTGAGTGTGTGTAGTGTAGTGTATATGTGTGCTTTATCGTTTGTATGTGCGTGTGTATGTGCGTGCGCTTCAGTGAGTCTTTTTGTATATGCGTGTGTGTGTGTGTGTGTGTGTGGAGAATGTTCCGAAATTTTCTTCTTCAAAATTGATGCGTTCCGTTATATGAAGTGAATGATGACGACCATGATGATGATGATGGGGATGATGGCGACCATGATGATGATGATGATAATTATAATAATAACAATAATAATAATAATAATGACAGTAAGTAAAAAAAATGTTGTCACTTGATGGTGATGATGATGATGACGATGATGATGACGATGATGACGACGATGATGATGATGATGATGATGATAATGTTACAAACGTACGAGTTGGAGTTGGATGAAGTCGTTGGATGTGCCACTGACGACACGCACCAACACGCCGCTCGACTTTCTGGCCAGAAATCTGTTTCAAGTTTGTTTTCAAAAAAAATTCTTTTTGATTTAATTTAATTTTGTTCGGAGTTTCATTTCACTTTTAGTATCGAATTTTGTTTCTTTTATTTATTTTCATCATTTTATTAACAATTTTATTATTTCAAATTAAACAAAACACAACAAGTTCATAAAATTACATTTTATACAGTTGAATGAATTACATTAACAAGTATTTTTTTCAATAGAATAAAAAATAAAAAAAAATCAGTCCCATGTCTAGATGTTAGCTCAGACGGTAAAGTGCCACGTAATGCTTGATTGTAATTGTTCGATCACCTAGTTCGAATCCTCTTTGTTCACAATTCTTACATCTTATTAAAATACAACACAAAACAGTATATAGCAGGAAAAATAGTTATTCTCATTAATATTCATTGGAGCAACGGTAATATTAATCACCTGAAAGCTAATTGGTCAGTTTGACTGTCTGGCCAAGCGCTGTCGGGGTATTTGAACGTAAACAAACCACCTGATTGGCCGAACTCGTAAACCACGCCCACTGCAAAATTATTAATAATTATATTTTATTTATAATTATACATCATAATTTTAAAATTACTGTTCAAGTCATAATTTTAAAAACGTCATCATCTACGTCATCATAAGTAATTTTACATTCACACGCACACACACGCGCACACACACACACGCACACACATGCACGCGCAGACGCACTTAAGTAAACAAACATGCTTACACACAGTCAATGTAAATGTACATAGCTGTCAATCAACTAAAAAAGTGGGAGGTGCCGGGAATGCAAATTTTTTGGTGACGTCATTTGGTGCGAAAACTAACGAGCCGACCAATCAGAAATGGGTTGACATCAGTGGTGATAAGATGACGAGTGTGGTGGGGCGGTAATGATGATGATGATGATGGTGATGATGATGGAGTAAATGATGATGATGATGATGGTGTTAATGATGATATGGCGGGCGACAAATTTGTTTCAAGTTGTAGAATTCAATACATATATACATACAATCAAAATTTCAAACATATAAACAAACAAACAAACAAACAGACAGACAGACAGACAGACAGACAAACATATGTACAAGTGAAAAATCTTATTGACTCTTGAATGGGTTGGGCAATGAGAAGCTTCCTTTTGTACAAAATTTACGCATCCATACATTTATCTACGTTTCTGTTACGTATAAATATTCTTTTATGTATATAGGTACCGTACATGTATCTTTGTATATATGTATGTATGTGTGTATGTATGTATGTATATATGTATGTATGTATATATGTATGTATGTATGTATGTATGTATGTATGTATGTATGTATGTATGTATGTATGTATGTATGTATATATGTATGTATGTATGCATGTATGTGTGTATGTATGTATGTGTGTATGTATGTATGTATGTATGTATGTATGTATGTATGTATGTATGTATGTATGTATGTATGTATGTATGTATGTATGTATGTATGTATGTATGTATGTATGTATGCATTATTATTATTAATGAAAAATTTAAGAAAGCGCTAATTCAAATAATCTCAAAAGCGCTATCTAAAAAAAATATCATGGCATGATCAACAAAAATAAAGAGTTATCAGTGTATTTCAACGAAAAAATTATAAGAAAAAAAAACACAGTCTTCATTATTTCCTTAATCTAACATGGCACAATAAACAAAATAAATCACTCAGTTATAACTAAAAGAAGTCAGTTCAATGAATTACAACGAAAATAAGTAAGTTTGTTTTCTTTTAAAATCAGGCAGGTTCAACTCCGGATCTCTTAGAAAGGCAGGCAAATTGTTCCAAACAGTATGAATGTATGTATGTATGTATGTATGTATGTATGTATGTATTTATGTATGGATATATGTTTGTTTGTATGTTTGTTTTATGTATGTATTAATATTTGTTTGTATATTTCTATGTATTTTCAATGGTTTTATGTTAAACGATTTGTAACAAAGTAACTCAACCACAACTAAAACTACCCTAACCTCTACAACTACAACTGCTACAACTACACCTACTAGAACAACTACAGCCACAATTGCAGCAACAGACACTTCAGCAACCACAAGGGCCCACACGTTACTTGCTGCAAACGGCTGTAAAAAAATTTCAATACATTCTCTTTTTCAAAATAATGTACAGCGAAATACATTCACATGAAGGATGGAGACAATTTGTTTTTCAGAATCACGCACAAACACACGCACACGCACACACGCACACACACATATATTACAAACATACATACACTACGGTCTCCTGATTATGTAAAATCAAAGCTGTTTCAAACTAATTTAATGAATAATACACATACATACATATATACATAAACATACATATATACAAACATAAATATAAACAAATACATACACATACAAACATACATATATGCATACATACATACATACAAACATACATACATAATATGTGGTATTGATACAAATCTTTGATTCCATTTATGAATATCTATGCCCCTATTTATCAATATTCTCGCTCGCAATTTCATTTCTGTGTTGTATCTCTCGCTACCTGCTTGTATGTGCGTGTTTATCCACATATACTCACAAATCTAATACACACACACACCACACACACACACACACAAACACACAAACACAAACAAAGTTAAATAGATTTTCAGAATGAAGACGCAGATT